TATATATATATATATATATATATATATATATCATTTTAGCACATTTTCATAATATTATTATTATTTAAATTTATTATAATTATATTTTTTTTTGGATCGGCCGTAATATCTTCCTTATATTTTGTGCAATAATACTATTCCTTCTATTTTGTAGGTATAATTCCAATAGCATTTCATGAACCGGTACGAAGCCCGTCTGGAAACTAAAACAATGCAAACGTGGGTATCGACTATCGACGGACGTAAAAGAAAATGTCAGAGATAACATACATGATTTTAAGGGTAGTATGCCGGAAAATTTCTCAAAAAAATTATACTACGCCGGAAATCGGAAGGGTAGCACAGGCCATGTGCAACTTGTTGGTCTGACATAGGTGGAGGGCGATTTTGCCATTGTTGATGTCACCAACACCATCATAGTCACCATTGCCGTACATCATTGATACGAAAGTCGCCTGGAACAACACTTCTTTTTGGGTGATTATGGTTCGGAATGTATGGTTCTTAAATTCTTTTAGTGTGGTTTCTGTAATTAAAAAATCACAATTAAATTAGTGTTTGTTCATGTTCGCTTCTATCCATTGAATTAAAAAAAACATGTTTATGGTTGGTTCTGTTGATCGAATCAATGTTTGTTGATAGTTAAAAGTATTTTTGTTATTGAAAAAGTTGTAAACTTGTTTGAGACACAAAGGAGTAGAAACGTCCACGTAAAAAATTGTCTGAAGTTTTTTGATTTTTTGAACTTGGTATTTTATGCTTGGCTTCTCAAAATATTTGTATTTGTTTTAAAAGCAATCATAGAGATTTTCTTGTGAAGGAAATGAAATAATTTTTGGAGTTATATTGCGTGATTGAATAATCCAATATTAAATCACTTTAACTCATGCATTGTCACGTGTTGCCTTGTGAAGGGTGCAAGAGTTAATATGATAAATGTTTATGGTAGGCAAGGAGTTGGTATACGAATTGGCAAATGGCAAGTGCTTTTGTTCCCTTTTAAGTATAGTATCTCACTTTTTTTAAAAAAAAATTGATAATTTAAATAAATATGATATTTTAAAAGTTTATAAAAAATATAAATGATGTTTTAATATTAAATTTAGGAAAAAATAAAAATAACAGTTAAAAATAATTTTAAAATATAAAAAAAAGGTTTTAGACAGATGATATTTTAAGTTTTTATTTATAACATATGAAATTCTCCCTCGATCAAGTTTTATAAACTCTAATTATTCAACAAATAATTAGGTTTATAATACATCGACACATGACATTTTCTAAAATTTTTGAATTTTTTATTTTCTATTTGTCATTTTATTGTATTTTTCATTTTATTAAATTAAAATTTCACATTTAATACGTAAGGTAATATATATGTAAGGTGTTTATTAAAAATGATGTATATATGTAATGTATTAAATGTATTAAAGTCTCATTAATTTTAATAATTTAAATTTTTTTCTTATTTTTCTTATAAATTCAAACTTTTCAAATTATTAAAATTTCATATTTAATTTTTTTAGATAAACTCATGTAATAAATGAGTGTCACACACCTAGTTATTTCATATAAAAATGTTTACTAACCAAATAACATCGTTTCTTGAATATTCTTTAACTAGGTTCAAATATCCTCATCAAGACCCAAAACATGGTAAACCTAAGTTCATCAATATGATCAGACATCGAGATTAGGGTTATGCCTCTGGTTGTTGTGTTAATATAACAAAATAATCTTCAAAAAGTAGTTCTCTTTTTAAAGCCCTCTTGACACCAAAATCGCCCTTGGACTTCACTCTTGAGCTCTTTGAAGTGTTTTCGGATAAAATGGGTGTGTGTGTGTGTTTTTGTCAGAAAAGTAAACAAGTATGTGGTCTTTCTTCCATGACACATTCGAGCATGTTGATAAAGCTAAAAACACTTTGATTAATGAAGAAAAACTAACCCAACAGTATTTATTCCGTATAAAAAGATAGAACATGTTACCAATATCTTCTTGTCAAGTTCAAACATTTTCAGGACTCACTTTCTACAGAATCCTCATGTACATATGTAATATGTTCGAATCATAGGATTTCAATCAAGAAGACATGGATATTACTACCATAGTATGGGCAGCTTTCATGCAGCAGCAGTTGGTTCACTAGTGGTTCGTGCTTCAAGTGTCTTCTCATATTCCTCGATAGATTTGAAGAGCTCAGAGAAATTCCCCTTCCCGAATCCTCCACACCCTGCCTTCTGCTGCACCTTGCCTTCATCATCTTTCACCATACACCCAACTCTCTGAATTATCTCTATGAATATGGTTGGCCTGCCCAGATACAAATACAAACAACAATCCCAATTTTGGGAATTCATCAATATGCAAGTTAGGGTTCTGTATTATTGAATATGCTGATAATGAATTCAAGAAAATTGGTGAATATGGGCAAACCTGTCGCCCACGGGTTTGGTGAAGATTTGAAGCAGAGTCCCCTGATCATCTCTATCGACTAATATTCCCAATTCCTCACACTCCTTAATCTGTTCATCCGTCAATACATCTCCGACTCTATTCTTCAAATTCCGATAATAAGTAGGCGGTGGCGACGGCATAAACTCAAAACCACCAATTCCGCTGCGCTTCCTCATCTCTCTCAAGGTCCGAAATATGTCCTCACTTGCCAGCGCCAAATGCTGAACTCCGGCGCCTTCGTTGTGTTCCAGGTACGTCTGAATCTGGCTCTTCCTCTTTGTTCCGTACACCGGCTCATTCATAGGGATCAAAACCATCTCGCTATTGCACGCTAAAACGACCGAATTGAGTCCGCTCTCGCTCGTGCCGACATCCTCCGCCGTGAATTCGGCGAACTCATGGAATCCAGTGAAAGATTTCACGTAGTCTACAGCCGGAGCGAGTTCCGGGACGTTGCCTACCGCATGATCAAGACGGCGGATACCGTAGTCAAGGTCAGGAAACGACGACGTCTTTTCAACTGGTTCAAACCCGGGCAAGAAATTAGATATGCCATCAAAGTTGGGATTCTTGTAGCTTATGTAACGCAAAACGACATCGCCGTAGAGTTTAACTTCCGACAGTATGACGTCGTTATTTCCAAGGGTGATTGGGGAAGAAGAGGGTTTAGCGCCGTGGGAGACGCTGACGGAGAAAGCGATTTCGGCGTCTTCGACTTCAATGGCGACTGAGCGGACTGCGAGGCCGTGGGAGGCGGTGAAGTTGCGGCAGTCAGTGTGGGAAAACGACGGGATGGAAGCGGTGGTGGTGGTGGCGGCGGAGGAGATGGATGGGGAATAAGGAGCAGTGAAGAGGAAGTTGAGTTGGCCGGAGCGGAGGAGGTAGGAGGCGTGAGTTGCGTTTCCAGTTGATAGATCGGATTTCTGAACGATGGGCATGCCGAGGCCCCAGGAGAAACGTCGGGCGGTGTTGGTGGCGTCGGAGCACCAGAACTCAATGTGGTGGAATCTTTTGACTGAGAATTTGTCGGACATGGGATTTGTTCGGATGAAGTTGTTGAAGCCAACTAGCTTGAAGGCGGAGCCGGTTTGTTCTCCGGCAACGGTGTTTCCATTGGTGAGTTTAGCTTCCGTTCCCATTTTGATTTTGGATTTGGATTTGGATTTGGATTTTGAAATCGTTAATTAGGTGTAGATCGAATATAGATATATAGAAGCGAGTAGGAGCACGTCTCCTACAGAAACAGGATATGAACCACACGGAAGTATCAACGATTGGTTTGGAGTGATGATATTGACACGTAGTCACGTAACACTGGTTATCTCAAAGATTCAAACCAGAATTAGATACTAATCTCTGTTTTTCAAGTTGCATATACACTTTATCTAACAAATTAGTGGCAATATAAGATCTTTATGCTAAATTTTTAAATTTAAATCGTTTAACTAAAATCTATGCATACGATAAAATCATAAGAGTAATTATATTTTTATGAAACCCAATTTTAGATATATTTAACATATAAATATTTAGAAATGCATTTTTTACATCTAATTATTTAATTCAAAATTGAATATTTATATACTAATCATATTATTTTGAAAATATTAATTTTTTTTATATAAGTTATCTTTAATCGAGGGATCAACATTTATATATTTCAAAATTGAGGAGCATTTCAGGTTGAGTTTGAAAATACAATTCATTTTTTTAGTAAATTACACGAATGGTCCCTATGGTTTGGGATAACTTGCGTGTTTGGTCTCTAACTTCTTTTTTTTAATTTGGACGGTCCTTAATATACATTTTTGTTACAAGCTTGGTCATCCCAAACATAAAAAGACTATTTTGCCCTTTACTATTTTTTTTTAAAAATTTAATTCATTTTTATTCACCTATTTATATTTATTATTAAATATAAAGAACCTAAATTTACTTCCCACTTTCATCACCCACGTTTTTTGGTTCACCCATAACTTCCACCTCCGGTTACATCTTCCACCGCCTCTACCCCCCCCCCCTCTACACGTCGACGTTTTCTCTCTCCAGCTTTCGACGTGTGCAAAGTCACCGCCACAACATCTATTGCTCCCGCCACAAACGTCGATCTACTGCCCCGCCACCCCCTTAGTGTAAGCATGTAAGGAACCCTCATTTTAAATCAATGTCGAAGTTTAATGGTGATGGATATGAAAATCGTCAAAGCTTTTAGTTAAGATGTAGAACACAGTTTCTAATGCTTATTCACTAATCTAGTATTTGCAAACCGAGAAAGGACACAATTTCTAATGCTTGTTCACTAATCTGGTATTTACAAAATCGAGAAAGAGCACCGATTTTTAGATCTAGGGTTTAGATTCATGGGCCTACCATTGTCGACAAACCAAACAAGTAACAAGGATGGGTGATTTTCGTTGGCGAAGTGTGAGTACAATACGACACTTCCATGGTAGATGCGATGTGTGTCTGTTTGGGGGGTGCTTATCGACCAAATTAGAAGGTGACTTGGTGCTGATTTTCTTTGAGTAATCAATGGCTTCGTCTTCTTACTTTCACCTAGCACTAATCCACAAGCTACCAATTTAAAAATGCTCGGAAAGTAAGCTTGTATTTGTTGAAATATTTTGTGGTGAGTAGTGAATTTAATAGACCATTTCTGATTCAATGATTTGTAATTGTAAGAGGCACATGGATTTCAAATCGTATTTTTGTTTTCTATGGTTGTTTTAGTGGTAATAGAAATTGTCTCTTTAGCTTCATATTCAACAGTTTCATGCTGGAAATCAAATTAATAAATTGGAATTTTTTGTCATGTAATTAGAACCGTGTTGTTGTTTGTGATTTTGTTTTGTATTGGGCATAAGTCATCTGATAGTGTCTCATGGTCGTCTAGTGGTTAGGGGGAAGAGATATGGGTCATCGGGGAGACAAAGGAAGGAAATTTGAAAAAGGTTTGGAGTGGGACCATTATATGTTAATAATAATATAAATAGTTGTATAAAAATGAATCAAATTAAAATAGAAATCACTAAAGGGCAAAATAGTCTTTTTATACTTGGCAGGGACCAAGTGCGTAACAAAAATATATACTAGAGACCGGCCGAGTTAAAAAAAAGAGTTAGAGACCAAACGCGCAAGTTACCCCAAACCATAGATACTATTCATGTAATTTACTCTTCATTTTTTTATGAAATTGTTTTCTATGCGGTAAAAAAATAGAATACATAAAGGTGTATTTGGATTAATTTATATATAAAAAAACTAGGTCCATGTGATTTTTAATCTCAGATATAATCTCTAAGTTTAAAAAACATCATAGATAGTCCCTGTGGTTTCAAAAAATTTAACAAATAGTCTCTTATCCACATAAAAAGACTTATTTACCCTTTTTAATATATTTTTGATTTCCTTTATTTAAATTTATTTAAAAAAATAATAAATAACTTGGCCCGCCCACCCCCCCCCCCTTCTCCCCCTCTATTTCTCTCTCTCCTACCTACGACACACTCTTCNTTATCTTCATAAAGTCATGATGGTGTATGGGTATTGGCCCATACATAAAACCAGGTCGGCAAGACAAGAAACAACCTAAACAGCCCCATCAAAACCCAAATACATAAACAGGTCGACGCCCACCTTAATCCAGTTTAAATCATGTCGGACAACAATAAATATATATGGAATTTTCTGCATGACAATGTCTCGGGGAACATGGAAAAGGCAACATTATTTTATTAAAGGGTTCCACCCTTGCGAACTTTGGGCAAAAGCAATACCTCGACAGGAGATTAATAAACTGGATCGACATCAGTATATAAAAAGGACCAAGCATACATCGAATAGGTATCATTATCTTTTCTCTCTTAAAGAAACTCAAGAAATCTTTCTTGTAACCTCAAACGACATCTAACTTAGGCATCAGAGAGTAATATCGGGGTCTAACTAGCAACGTATCCAAGATTCCACATAGCAAGATTGGTGTCACCCATCTATAAAAACAATGCAAGATAAATCACAAACCACACGTGTCATGGCAGACTCAAGCTTCAGTCTCATTAACTTAATCCCAACATTCATCTCGCTTACCACAATTATGCCAAGCACAGTACCACCAACGATTGTTTCGTCCCGACAAACAAAACAACCGTTAGTCCAAGTACACTTCCAAGAAGAAAGAGAGTTACAACGACAATCATCAACAAAATGAAAGAAAACAAGACAAGTAGGCTCGGTGATGATTGTATCAGATAGTAGTCCCATCACGGGCAGACCAACCGCACCAATGGGACAACTTAAGATTACCTCGAAGAATAACAAGTTGACGGTACGAGTCCTACCCCTGTTATTAAAACAACATTCAACAACTACCACAACGTTGGCACAACAAAATGCACCACCATACATTATGTTTCCACCACCATTCCTTTATACGCATTATCAATCATATTGGCCCCCACGGGGACAACAAGCTTACACCACACAAACCATCCTTAGAGATAAAGTAATCTCGCAGGTTCAATGGAACACCCAAACAACAACAACAACGCATTAAGAGACTCAACAAGGAACACCAACAATTGTCGTGTCTTGAAATCTGATAACTCGCCCCTTATTAGGAGTATACGCGAGTATCAGTTACCAATAGGAGAAAATATACAATAAATTTCAAAATACGATGGATCAGGCGACCTGGATGATCATACTGAAAAATACAAATGGACAATGGACGCTTATTACCTAGACGAGAAGTAATGGTGCTTCTTCTTCCCCACCACCTTGTCAGGGCCAACGCGATTATAGTATAAAAGCCTACCAGTGGAGTGCGTACATGATTTTAATCAGTTAAGAGATGAGTTTGTAGGTCATTTCATACAACAAATGAGATACACGTTGGACGCCCAAGTAATCCTAGGATGCAAACAACGTGAGGACTAATCATTGAGCTATTTCATCCATCGTTTTAGCAATGCCACACTTAATGCCCTAGAAAGAGCAGATAACATTGTGATAGTTGCGTTCACCTATGGTTTACGAACAAGGTTTTGTTCAAAAAGTTATTGGGTTAACCGCCAAAATCAAGAAAAGACACGATGGAATGAATTCACCGTTACATGAGACAAGAAGAAGCAGCATTTGAGAAAATAAAAACCGACCAGGGGGGAAATCTACGACCAAAGAGAGATCTGAACACCTTACGTGCGAAGCCAATTCCAAGATAATAACATATAACGCCCGCAAGATAGGGCTAGAAGATTAAAGAATAATATGATAATTATTTGTCACAACGATAAACAAATACTTTTGATAGAAGATTATTTAGGATAAATAATCTAAAAGAAAGTTGTAGGAATCGTAAAACTGAGAGCGTGCATATGATGAACGTCTAAATCTGACTTCGTAAGAGGACGTTATGATTTTCGAAATTTCAGCACAATAATATACGACACAGAAACCGAAATTAAGATCGGTCGATTTTTAGGAAAAAATTCTAAACGAGAGTTGAAGATCTCGTAAATACCTATATGTCGATATAAAGACAGTTAGAACGGATATCGTATGAGAGAGTTATGATTTTCGCACGGACTTTAATAGTTTAAGCACGTTAAAAATATAACTTTAAAATTAAAGTGAGAATTAGCTGACGGAGTCTAAACGAAAGTTGTAGATCTCGTCAATAGCTATGCGTGGATATAAATAACGGCGAAAACGAAACTCTTATGAAGAGTATAGATTTTCTGAAGTTTTTTTAAAAACGTCTCGCGTGGGTAGGTTATGCGTGGCGTGCAGACCTTCTAGAAGGGGAGACACGCACCTCAGATAGCTTGACACGTAACAACATTTTTGAGGAGCATCGTTGACCAAAGTGCGCGACACGCATGTCAAATCCTCCTATAAATAAGCTGTGAAGCAGCCTCATTTCTCATCCCATTTCATACATTTCTCTCTGAAAATCTCTTTAGCCCTTTAGATCCGACTTTTCCGGACTTTTGAAACTTTTAGCTAGGCTCTGGGATAGCTAGAAGCGCGATTAGTTCGGAGTTTTGCCAGTATAATTTCCAAACTTTTGTGAGGAAAATCTCTATAAGTTAAGCTACACTTGTATCGCTTTCAGTGTAACTTATATTTATATTCATAGTCGTTGTTATGAATTTATAAATAAGATTCATCACTAATTCCAAACCATAATACCAATTGATCTACTTTCGGGAATGATGTCTAGGCTGGATTTAGTGAGGTATTTAAAGTAAGATTTCCAATCAATATACTTTGTATACCA